GCCATCTGAAAATTAAACCTACAACGAAACTTTTTTGTAAAAAATTCTTCTACAAAAATCTTTGCAAACCTTTTTTTTTTTTTTGAAAAAATCCCCAATTTTATATATATATATATATATATAACAATATGAAAATATGTACTTAAAAATCTGTATAACTTTCAAAACTATACAATGCAAAAGTTGTACAACTCCACACATGATTATTCGCCCTAATGCTCTTTACCCATTCTTGAAACTCAATAACACATAAAAGTGAGTAATAAACTCAGCGAAATAATTAAGACTAATGTAAGATTTTATAGACAGAAAGAAAGTAATGTGCACAATCATTTATAAGCAGAACAAATATATAAACATGCTTCTATCAAATGAGGCATTTAAAGTGAATGACAAATGCAGTAAACAATAACTGTGTCCAGAAAATGTTTCATTTAATCATGTGAAAATATAGGAATATTCATAAAAATTACAAAATCAATAACTTGATTCTTAGTAATGTCAATTACAATTACATTTGTTTCGACTGCATTCAAATTATTTCATGTTACTGGGTTGTCACCCAGCCCGTAGGTTAAAATAACTATTAATAAATATTAAACCTCTCGACGTAACAATTATAAATAGCCCCTTGATGCCAATAGTTCATGTTTCCATCTCTGTCTAGATATCAGGAATCAGTAATCCATTATTTCTTACTATCCGTACTTGCAAGCATTCATGTAATTATCTACCTATCACAACATTTGAGATATTCTTTTAGGCATAAAACCTATAATAAGCATTCATCATAGACATAGATATATAATATGCATAACAACAGTATGCAAATACCTGTAAGCGAAAATTTTATAAACATGTTCATCATATCAATAAAATAGTGAAATCAATAATATTGCCAGTGTCATTTCAAGTTTTGCATTCGTGGCAATATGAAAAAAATTTAAATACAATTATATACCAATAAAAATCAAATAGAAATCCTAGAAAAAAGTTATTGTTATTAATTTAGCACATGTTTATTTGACATAAATTGATAAAACTGTCTTACGACGAGTTTCTCAAGCTCATCTCGAGCTCGCCACCTAAAATAACCCGAAATCATAGAACTTAGAAGTTTATGAAGTTCTAGCTTAAGTCTCAATTTAATCCCAAATACGGTTCACTTGCAATAACTTACCTTGAAAGGGCTTCACCGCATAATTATATCTCCCTAATACCTTCCTATTTTATTCATCCTTCTCCTTCCCCTTATCCCTTCTTCGTTACCCGTAAATTGATCTACCTGAGAGCATAGCTCTCGGTTCACAAGTTCCGCAACTATTCCTACCTGGCTACAATCACACATGGATCACAATGAAAGCTTCAACTCGTAGCAAATCTCAGAAAAAGAAGATATTTTGGAAGGAATGCCTCAAATATCAAAAAAGTGAGGATTCTACTTCATGTTCTCTTCCCATAGCACTGAATCACGAGCTACGACGCCTTGTCGTCGCGCCTGCTAAAGGAGTCAAGTGGAGAGCCTTATAGAAGTAAATTCAGGGAAGAAAATTTGAGAGAGGGAAATGAAAGGGAGTGCAACATTTATCTTAATCCCAATTAATCCCAGCCATGAGATTATATCCAACTTTGCAATCAAAAATAAGTGGGAGAGAATGTCGACTAGTACCAGTGATGCGAAATTATGGAGGTCAATAAGGATTAAATAAAGTTTTAATTAGATTGATAATTCAAAATTTTATATCTTCCAATGCATTTGCAATTCATACACTACAAATCAAATTGATTAATTCATCAAGTAGAATTTTATAAAATTGATTTGGTTGGATTTTAAGGAATGTGAAACATAGGTCAAGGTGGTTTATTAAATACTCGTTCCACTATCAGAAGTCCCCAATGAACTCGTCTCGGTCTATGTAGTCGTTAAAAATAGATAAATTAACCTTCACTCTAAAAGTCACCCTTTCACGATATACTCAATGCTAAATCGATGTAGCATCAACCCTCGCTGCTTGAGGCCTCTTTGTGAAAAAAGTTTTCTTCATCTTCTCCATCAAGGTGGTCACCATTGTTGCTATGAGTGACTTTCTTATGTTGCCTCCTTTCAAAATAAATGAGCCTCGGTTGCAATTAGATGGTTTTCTGCTACATAGTTGTCATGGTAAGGACTTGAACAAACCCTTCGAAGATCTCCATGGCAGCATGACAGATCTATTAAAATTAAGATTGTAGCAGTGGTGAAGATTTTGGTCTAGGACTGGCATAAACTAAGGTTATGGTGGAGGATGTATATATGATTTGTGGATTAAGGTGTTCTGATTTTATAGAAAAAATCTAGACTTTAAAATTTCTGATTTTTAATAACATTGTTCTACGATTCCCAAGTTTTTAAGGATAGCATTTAGTTGGAGAGTGGTTGTAAAATGGCAAGAAAAAAAGATAAATCAAGAGAGTTTGGAAGAAGGCTGGAGTAATTCAACGGTTGTCCGATATGAAAACAACGGGTGAACAGTTTGTGAAGGAGGATCCACCGTTCGTTCTCTTAAAACTAAAGATTCACCACTTGAAAAAAAAAAAAACTATAGCTTTCCAATTAGGAGAAATCAGGGAGAAAAAGTTTCCAATTAATATAAATCAAAATAAAAGTCTCAAAACAATAAAAAAACGGTATATAAATAGTTCTTACGCAAAAATACCCCTAATTCTAATTCAAACAATATAAAAATTGAGGGCGGCACATCATGAGACAAAATTCTTGCTATAGGTTCTCATGGGATGAAAAACACGCCGCGCACGGATCTACCCAAAGAAGCGGTCGTGTTTGTCTAGTCATTCCCATGTCAGAAACTTGGTAACCACATCACTAACTTTAAAAGTAATAAAACCCTAGGGTTTAATAGGCTGAGCAACTTATGGTGCAAATGTATTTTCTAGTCCTCTTAATTTACAAGAAGCTAGAGAATCCCTACTAATCACAATCCTCTAAAAGCTAAATACATGACCATGATTGCTTCCTAAGAGATTTGGGACTTCTGCTTTTAGGTTCTTAAGAAGATAAACTCTAACATTCACTTCTCCTTCAACTTACATTTTTGAGCCTTTCTATACTTTATTTGCTTTTATTAATCTATTTTTTTCCTAGAAAACATTCAATAAAATTGGAACAATGCAAGAAAATACATATGGCCCTTACACAATAATGAAATGCATAATTAGAAAAATTTGCCAAAATTTCAAAACTTATAATAAGTATAATGTGCTTCACCATCACAGGAAACTCCCTTGCTTCCCCTTAGCATGCAAAAGCATCTCTCATGCGCTCACTTCTATGCAAATGATGTTGCTTGCCCTTGAGACATTTCTTGTGTGCTAAATGAGTGTTTTTTGTGTGTGCACTTTATGTAGTTGTGTTCGCTCATTTACAGCTTGTCATAGCGTCAATAACAACTCTACTCGACTCATCACTACCTATACTTGTGCAAAAATATTGATGTTTATTCTATCATCGACACCCTTGCCTAAGTTTTGATGGGGCTGTCTTCAAATGGTAGGACTTCAGCTTTGCCTCATTCAGTTAATAAGTTCTTGCTATTGATTTTAACTTGAGAGATGTTTTTTATCTCCCCATCCTCATTTGTTGCTCGATGTTTTTTCACCTATGGGGCTTCTTTATTCTAACCCTCTCCATCTAATAACTTATCAATCTCCAATAGCTCTTCCTGCATTGGTTATAACCCTCCAATATTAATACATGGAGAACAATGAATGGATGATGTTTGCACCTTTCCACTCTCGAATGTTAGCCCAAGTAGATTCCATTCCACCCCTCCTCGTGCATTCAGTACATCGATGGTTGCTCCTGTTACTAGTATGTGTCGATCATTTCTAATTGTTTCTTCAACAAGGATTAAACCATTCTCAACAAAACCAACACGCTATCTTCCAGAGGAGCAAATAAATAATCAGAATCTTTGTTCAAATGTAGTGATCACAATTCCTCCTACTTAGAATCAAGCCTGGAGAAAAAACTTTGAACTAACTTAGGTCGCCCTAAGTTAAGAAAATATCCCTACAATCAGGTTCAAGAGGACATACAAATGATCATAATCTTCCTCCAAAGAGTGATCACAATTCTCTAACTTCAAATCTAGCTGGCACAAAAGACTTGGAACCAACTTCAAATCCCGTCATGAACTTTACTTACTATCCTTAACCCTATAGATGTCGCAAAAACATGCAAGGTAACCGCCCCAGATTCTAGCAATGTGCTAACCTCTCATGATTATCCTATTTGGGAGAATGTTGGTGTCAAAAACACTGAGCAGTGTTATGATTTTGAAGGTAGTGTTATTGTAGTAAAAAGTAGGCTTCAAATTCTGTTAGCCAAGAGGTGCGGAAATTATATATATATATATATGAAGAATATATATATATATATATATATATATATTGATACTAATTTAACATGCAAGTAAAATATTCATAAGAGAACATATGCATATTATAGAAGCAGACCAAAAACAGTATAAGATACTAAATATATTTTCTATCCATAATAAATGATTCCACAGCCTAAAGGAATTTAAACTTTCACCGATTACAAATCTATAGGTGAAAAAACTTCACCATATAAGCAAAAAGTTCAAAAGCTTCCAATGTAACTGGCATGCAACCACATAAATAGAAGAAACTAGTGCTGAAAAAGTTCAAGAAGATCAAACAATCTACACTTAGGTGGCCAAGAATTTCACAAGGCAGATTTCAGTTGAAAGTTATAGGAAATCAAGATTTCTTTGATGCAAAAAATTGAGTATCAAACAAACAGTTCAATGACTTTCTAGATGAATGAATGCACAATACTTTTCTAATTTAGTTCATTTAAACTCATGATATTAGGCTTCTTAAAAAGCACAACACAAACTAAATGTTTCCTTGTGATGAAATATTAATTTCTTATAAAATGATTCAGAAGTTTGATAATGAACTTTCATTGCACTTACAATCCAAGAGATGTGATTTTTCAAATCCTCAATGACATTTGTGTTCTTTGACTTCTTAATCAATTTCTGAAGTTTCTGCATGGTTTCAAAGAACAATTAAAATTAACATAAAAAATTACAAAATATAAAAGCACTGCTTAAAACAAGTTAAAGAAGAAGATCAATAAAAATAATGCAATTCACCGCTTTCTCTGCAGGAAGCTCAACCTCATACAAGAAAGAATATCTATTCCTAAACCTGGCATATAGAACAACAATAAAGCACATAGAAATGAATCAGATATCATTGAATATAGATTAATTGTTTTTCAAAAGTGAAAATTGCTAAGCTTATCGAAACAAAAGACAGTAGTTATGTCGTGGAAATATAAAACAGAAAAATAGAATCTTCAATTAAACTCAATCAACACTCAGCGAAGTCCCAAAATATGGTTGACTTACATGAAAACTGCAAGATAACTAAAATAGCTATGGATACAAGCCAAGCGGTAATTCAGAATGCATGTAAAATGAACCAAATTTGAAAGCTACAGGAGAAAACAACTACTTAATGACAAGCCATACATACAAAGGAAACTTAAAAAACATTTTGACCACAAGAAAATATATTATTAATCAAATCGATCAGAAGAAAAAAGAAAAATTTCATCAACAACACAGAACCAAGTTAAAACAGTCACAAAGTAGCAAACAAGCTATTTCATCAGTAAATTTATGGGAGCAAGAAACCATTTGGCAATTGACTTGACAAAATGGGGGTGTTGTCTTCCATTTCACATCAGAGTGGGAATATGGTTCCTGTTTTACAATAGATTTCAAAATCATTTTTGTTTACCAGAACCATATGCTTGTTTGATAAGCATCGGTGGCATTATCAATACAAACAACCTAGAACAAAATACATGAAATTAGCTAAAAGGACATCTTTCCTGAGAGAAACAGATAACTAAATCGTTTCCTACAGTATCCCAAAAGCAAAAAGGTGATCAACCTGGAAACAATAAAATCCCTATGAATCATGCAATAAGCTAAGAGAGAGAAGTATAATTTCCTTTAATAGGCCCTGCCCTACTTAAGTGGTCATTGCAAGTAAAGAATACATACTTTTCTAATAATAAAATATCACTTCCAATTGCATCAAGCTATGACTTAATATGCAATTGCACAATACAAACGGACTCATACCGATGGCTTTTATGCCTGGCTCTATCATATGAAATTTAGTGATCAAAACTGACAAGAGAACTGCTTGAAAGACTTGAATGTGTCCCTATTATAACTACAGCTCTGAAAATTTTCAAGCAGACATTTAGCAAGAAAGCTAGAAACCGATCACTTTGAAATTTGAATCACACTCCATTCAGCACTTCTTGATTGAAGTCACATCTAGGATAGGGTTTCTCAACTTCAATTAGCCATGTTTTTTCCCAGGATTCATGTACACTCAACACATTCCAGCGATCATTGTAACATATTCCTCCTTCAGTGAAAGCATGTTTTCTGCAGTTCTGGAAAAAAGTAGTTTGCTTCCAGCCTTCCTACTTTGCTGATTTAACATTCTGCAATTTTTGGGCAGCAATAAGTGATCTGCTACTTCAGCAGATTTGCCTTCAGCCTACTGCATCCAAGGCTGCAGAAATAGTGGCCAGAAAGGATAACGACCAAAGCAGTAACTGGCAAACAAACGACAAAAAAACTGCTCATCTTGCTCTAGAATTCAGGGTCAACATAAGAGGATGAGAGGAATAGAACCAGAAAACAAAGAGGAAAATTATAGGAATTCAGAATATTGTGTTTCTAAGCATGATATCTAAGAGTACTTCTAGAATCCATATGGGCCACATAAATTCTATAGAACGTGAAAACAAGAAACTTAATAACTAATCTACTGATCTCAAAAACTGAAATATGTTGTGTTAGTTACAAACAAGCCAACACTAATAACCAGATTTAGAACTATATTAACAATATCCAAGTGGATTTTATATCAAATTCACTCATGCTAGAATCACCTTTAACATCTTCAAGTAATAGTGAAATTTGTTTGCAAGCAATGCCTTCGTTAGCAAGCATGCAGGATTATAAACAATTGAAATATTTATGATCTTAACAAAATTTTTAATCACCACAACCCTAATGAGATGAAATTTCATATTCAAACAGTTCTTCATGATGAACATTATTTATAAACAAACATGCAACGGTAAAATTGACTTAGCAAATAAACATTGAATGTAAAACATCCCTATTAAGTAGCTCACCTATTAACCCTTTTATCCAAAAGGTTTCCTTCATAGCTTCAAAAAAAGCTATGCATTCTGACTCAATGTTAAATAGATGCAACATAAACTGTAAGTAAAAGTTCTAACTAATATTGTTTCCAAAAATGGAAACACAAAACCAGTCATAAATTGTAACACCCAGTTTCAGTTACCCAAGAGAAGAAATGAAAAATTGGAGGATAAGAAACGAGAAGTGAGGCAACTGAAGCGGGAGGAACAGAAACGAGAGGTCAGGAGGCTAAAGGATACTTTTGCACTATAAAAAGACGCACTTGAGAGAGGCAAAGGTGAGATCGACTTACTTGAGAGTCGAGCAACACGCAAAAAAGAGAAGCATCACGCGGGTATTAGAATTGCGGCGACATCGAGGGTTTGCGTTGTTGTCGAGTCGCGACCGAAAAAGGAGACGAGTAAGACGTTGCAATTCTATAAGGGAGCTCTCGCGAGTGGGATTCGATCGAAGGAGAAGCTCTCGAAGAATTAAGGCGACATTCAGCGCATTGTTCGAGCCGACGGAGAAGGGAAGAAGAGATTTGTGCGAAGTTGAAGCCTTACTCTCGTGCACAGTGGTTTAAAATCACACGCAGGGGATTATGGCTCAAGTGACGTAAGCCTGTGTGTGTGTGTCTATACACACACACACACACATATATTGAATAGAAAAGTAAATAGTATTATATAAAGTAAAAAAAATTAAAATTTCTAGCTAGTTAACATAATTTAAATTATTAAATTTGTAATACCATAATCAGTGGGGCTTGATGATATCCCAATCAAAGTGTGTAAATACATGGGAGATTTGGGAGTTTACTGGCTTACTAAACTCATTAATATTATTTTAAAAACAAAAAGGATGTCTGAGGAATGGAGAAAGAGTATTTAGGTTCCCATTTTTAAAAATAAAAGGGATGCATAAAAGTGCAAATTATATAAGAATTTAGTTGATAAGTATTATTTTAAATTAAAGAGTGTACTTAAACATAAATTAAAATGTGAAACAAAGATTTCTCATAATCAACTTGGATTTATGTCGAGCGGGTCTACTATGGAAGTTATATATTTATTGAGAGGTTTGATAGAGAAGCACAAAGAGAATAAGGAAGGTCTACATATGATTTTTATTAATTTAGAAAAAACTTATGATAAGGTTCCAAGAGAAGTCCTTTGTAAAGCTCTAGAAAACTTTGGAGAGTTTTAGAGAGGAGAGGCGTTGATGCGTTACTAAAGATATGTATACAAGATCTGTTACTCGTGTTCGAACATAAGGAGGATTGAACAAGTATTTTCCTACTTCAGTTGGATTACATTAGGGATCAGCTTTAAGCCCGTATCTTTTTGCTTTAGTTATGGAAGCTCTTACTGGACATTTACACGAAAATGCACCTTGATGTATGATTTTCACTAATGATATCCTTCTTGTGGATAAGACTAGAGAAAGAGTTCAAGAAAAACATAAATTATAGAGGTTTATATTACAGTCTAAATGCCTTCGTTTGAGTAGATCCAAAATTGAATACATGGAAAGTAATTTTGGAAGTAGTAGCTCCAATGGCAGAGTTGTAACTATGAGTGATCAAATCTTTAAAATGTGTGATCATTTTAGATATCTCGAGTCTGTACTTCAAAGTGATAGTAATATAGATGGGGATGTTATCATTAGAATTCGAGTTGGTTGGTTGAAATGAAAAATTGCATCGGGCCTATTATGTGATAGGAAAGTACCTCTTAGACTAAAAGGAAAATTTTATAAGATGGTGGTGAGACCTTCATTGCTCTATGGAGCAAAATGTTGACCTTTAAAAGAGGAGCATAAAAATAAGTTAGGTGCTACTGGGATGAAAATGCTTAGGTGGATGAGTGGCTTGACACTTAGAGACAAAATGCAAATGAATATATCTGTAATAGGGTTGGTGTAGCTCCAGTGGTGGATAAAATTAGATAGAGTCGTCTTTAAATGGTTTGTTCATATTAAACGTCGACCATCTAATGATCCTGCTAGAAGAGTAGATGTTTTATATTCGACTTATGTCAAGAAATGAATAGATAGACCTAAAAAGACTAGGGCATATTGTATAAAAAATGATCTTAATCTATTAGAATTAAATGAAAATATAACACTCAATAGGACGCAAGAGTGAAAAAATATGCATGTAGCGGACCCCACTTAGCGGTATAAAAGCTTGTTGTTGTTGTTGTTGTTGTTGTTGATGGTGAATAACATTATCAATAAAATTAAATTTTAATATGAATATCAAATTTATTTTAGACGTTCTATTTTAGAAGAGTTAACGTCAAGGCAAATCAAATAATCAAATTAAATCGTCATCGATGAGATTACTCGTGTTCTTATATTATGATGATATTTTGTTTCTTTTAGACCAAATGCATTTACTAGTACTATCGAAATTACTGTCAATTCATAAGTTTTGAAATCTTATGAATTTTTCTTAATATTCTAAGCATGATACATGTGCACAACATTTTTTAAATTATCATTTAAATAATTTAAAGCTATATTGTCTGAGATACATAATGAGAATGAAATATATTCTTAGTAAATAGTGATTTTGATAGAATGTATGTGCATGATTGACTATGATAGAGATATGATAATAATGGAGAAACACTAAAGTACTCGTGCACATATATAAAAAAGAAAATTAAAAATAAAGTACTTTAAGTGGTATAATTTTTATACGATGCACTCGTGATAGTTTTATAGATATAGAATAGTAAATAGTGATTTTGCATACAAATTGTTCGAATCGAAGAAGGGAAGAAGAAATTCGTGGAAAGTCGAAGCCTTACTCTCGTGCACAATGGCTTAGAAGCGCGCCCAAGGTATTAGGGCTCAATCGAGATAAAACTTATAAATAATAATAATAGTAATAATAATAATAATAATAATAATAATAATATATATATATATTGAATAAAAAAATAAATAGGATTATAT